TAGTTTTTAGCCACAAAGGTATGCATCGCAATCGCGGACAAACAGTCGCGATTGCGAAGAGTAATTTTGTTGTTTGGAGACTATGAATCGCGATCGCGGAAGCCTTTTCGCGATCGCGTAGAGGAAACTCCTACCGCACTGACCCGACTTTGGAAGGTCATATCTCACAATTTATAAGGAATTTGAAGATGATCCAAACATAATAGTTGGAGCTATTTGTTTCTAGTTTTCAGAAAAGTAAACCATTTTTCATTTGGAGTTGTGTACAAAACGTTATGGTAGATATACTATAGGCTGTCCGGGAAGAGTTTAGAAATCTCTGTTGCATAGGGCTGATTTTGGAAGCTTATATCTCGAAATATATAAAGAATTGGGAGATGATCAACAAATGAAAGTTATAGCCCTTGAAATCTAGTTTTTAGTTAGACCATTCATCATTTGGAGTTTTATACAAAAAGGTATGACAATTATACTAGAGGCTATCTGGAAGCGTTGGGGAGTTTGTTCTTTGCGATTGCGATTGGTTTTCCGTGATCGCAAAGAGCAATTTTGGGGCTGAAAACGTTTTTGCTTCGCGATCGCGAAGAGTAAATACCTAGGCAGTAGCTATATTTTGAGGTTTCGGCCATTTTTAACATATTTGGAGCTATGGAGCTCGGATTGAAGCGATTTTTGATGCGATTTTTGCCATATGGATTGGGGTAAGTGTTATATATCCAAAAGTGATTATACTTCATAATTATATGGTTATATTCATTATTTATTTTGGATTTAAATGGAAGAAATTAAGATTTTTGCAAAATCTTCCAAAAACGAAAATTTAAGATTTGGAGGTCGAGTTTTTATCGAAATTTGATAAAATTGGTTTGGTTGAACTCGTATCGGAATGGGTGTTCGGATTTGGTAAAAATTATGTCGGGTTCCGAGAGGCGAGCCCCGCGTTGACTTTTGTTGACTTTTTAGAAAAAAATTTTAAGTGTACGTATTATTATCCAGAATTATTTTCGATACATTTTAATGAGGTTGTGCAATAATTTGGATAGATTTGAGCTATACGGAGGTCAATTCAAGAAAGAAGACTATTTTTAAATATCGGCCTAACTTCAAAAAGGTAAGCGTCTTGCTTAACCTCGAGTGGGAGAAATTACCTCTTAGGCATCGAGTCTTTTGTGCCATTTGTGAAATGTGAAAAGCCGTGTGCGCGAGGTGACGAGTATGTACTCGTCTTATATGTGTAAATTTTATTGAAGTCTTGAGCATATTGTGTGATAAATTAGGTAATTTTTGGTATATATTTAATCATCTATTTGTCGTGCCTAAATCCTTGTTATTGTTAAATCTGTTGTTATATGACAATTTGATTTGATTGTTACTTAATTATTTATGTGATTCCGTGAATTTGTTGGTTTGATAATTATTGAAATTGAATTTCATTATGTATTTTTCCTCTGCAAATAATTAATTAAATGAGCTTAAGAAGAGGTATTTATATAATTATTGAAAATTTGAATTTAATGAAGACTTTACTTTATGTTGAGTAATTTCGATCTCTATTGATTGTTTTTGGGTATTGTACACATTGTGTGGAGCTTTTGGGCTATTTGTTGTGAATTAATTGATTTTGTCATATCTTTGTAATTTGGTTGTGGCCATTGGGCAAATTGTGATATGAATTAACTTTGTTACGTTGTCGTATTAATTTCCCGTATAAATTGTTATGTTGTATATTATTATTGTGGGGAGATAAGGGTGGCATTTCACCGTTGATATTATGTGGGTTTAAGGGTGGCATTTCGCTGTTGTTGTGTTTGGTTGAATATTGTCTGGGCGGAGCGATAAGGGTGGATATTGATATTGTATGGGCGGAGCGATAAGGGTGGCTATAGGAGTGATAAGGTTGGCAATAGAAGCGATTAAGATGTCTATTGTCAGGGACGACATGTAATGATGTGGGGTTGATGATTTTCATGTGATGTTGTGATTTTCTTGTGTTTATTTTTATACCTTGTGCAATTTGTCTTGTTTTTGGTAAATTGATAACAATCTGATTTATGTTGAAATTGAGAGCCTGTGGCTATTGCTAGGCGAATTATAAATTGAAATATGGGCACGAGGTGCCGTGAGAAAATAATGAGTATATTTGGCACGTGAATTGTCCATGCAGTCGAGATATGAAATGTGGGCACGAGGTGCTGTGATGAAATGATAATGATATTTGGCACGTGAGTTGTCCGTGCAGTTGTGATATGAAATGAGGGCACGAGGTGCGAGGCAAATATGATGATTTAATTATGGGCACGAGGTGCCGTGGAAACATAAAAAATGGGCTGAGACCCGTGTTTACGAAAAATATAAAAATGTGCTGAGACCCGTATTTTTATGATTTTGAAATGAGGTGTCACATGGTGACTCTTTAATTGAAAGAATTATATTCAAAATATTTATTTGGATGAGTTTTTATTCAAAAAACATTATATGAAAGAATTATATTTGAAAAATATCTATTCGACGAAATTATATTTGAAAAAGAGTTTTATTCGTAAGAATTATATGTGAAAGATATTTAATTGAAGAACTTGATTTAACTGGGTGTAATTAGATTTATTAATTGTTGAGCGATATTAAATTGTAATTTTATTGTCTTACTGTGCATATCATTGGTTGTTTGATGTTGCCTTGATGTTATTTGTTTTCTATTATTTTGTATATTATATTGCACAGGTTATTAGACTGGTAAGTGTCTTGACTGTACCTCGTCTCTACTCCATTGAGGTTAGTCTTGATCCTTACTGGGTACCGACCGTGGTGTACTCATACTACACTTCTGCATATTTTTGTGCAGAGCCAGGTATTGGAAATATCGGACTTGAGCAGAGTTAAAGCGGGATCGTAAGGATTCAAGGTAGAGCTGCTTAGTCGTCACAGTCCCTTGGAGTCTTTTTATTTCATTGTACTGTTAATTTGTAATCAAACAGTATTGTATATTCGGTCCTCGTGATCATTCCATGTATTCAGTTAGAGTTCGTGACTCGGTACTACCAGTCTTGGGTGGTAGTTGTATTCATACTTGTTTCCACTGTCAGTTTTGATTACCTATTTAATTAAAAAAAAAATGGCGTCAAAATGTAATTGAAATCGGCTTACCTAGTCTTAGAGACTAGGTGCCATTACGACGCTTGTGGCGGGGTTTTGGGTCGTGACAGCGTTATATCTCATATCGCCCTCGATCACATGGAACTTTATTTCTTGGATGGTCCCAGCTACGTTTACTGGCAAAATTATCCCGCCTTTAGTAGTTTCACACTCCATATTGAATCCGTTTAGTACTAGGGTTGCAGGAACGACCTGGTCCTGTAGACCGAGTTGCTCTACGATCCTTGATCGAATGATGTTGGCCGAACTACCTGGATCAATTAACACACGCTTAACTTGAGTTTTATTCATAAGTACAGATATTACCAGTGCATCGTTATGGGGTTGCATGATTCCTTCCGCGTCTCCATCACTAAAGGACAAAGTTCCTTTTGGTGTGTAATCCTGAGTCCGAGATCCCTTCTCTCTTACAATCGACATCTTAGTGCGTTTTAGTACTGGCCCCTGGGGGACATCGATCCCTCCGATGATCATGTGGATGATGTGTTGTGGCTCTTCTTGTTCGTTTTGTCTATTGAAATCTCTATTTTTAAATGGTTTTTGGCCCGGTCACTTAAAAATTCTCGAAGGTGCCCTTCATTGAATAATCGGGCTACCTCCTCTCTCAATTGCTTGAAGTCTTCAGTTCTGTGGCCATGGGCACCATGATACTTGCACATTTGATTGGGATTTTGCTGGGATGGATTGGACTGCAGAGGTCGAGGCCACTTAGTATCTTTGATGCATCTGATAGCCGACACGATAGCGGATGCATCGCTGTTAAAGTTATATTTTGATAACCGTGGTGCTTCCTTAGGTCCGGTATGCCTATCGAACCCATTCTTGTTCATCAGCCCCCGAGACCCTTGGCCTCAATCACTTCTCCTTTCGCCTCGTACGGAGTTGCATGCAGGTTCGCTACCCCTACGATCTCCGTTATATGGCCGATATAGGTCCTTGATCGACCTTGGTTCTCGGTCGATGTCTTTTTTAATAACGGATCCAGAACCCAACTGGTCGTCTTCAACTCTAATCTTCGATTGATATCGATTGTGTATATCGGTCTAGGTAACAATCGGGTACTCGATCAAGTTCTTCTTCAACTGTCGTGAAGCCATCGAGCTTCGTTCGTTCAGTCCTAGAGTGAAAGCTTGAATATCCCAATCGTCTGTGACCGGTGGTAGATCCATTCGTTCCATTTGGAAACGAGATACGAACTCTCTTAGCATCTCGTTATCTTTTTGCCTTACCTTGAAAAGGTCCGACTTCCTGGTCTCAACCTTTATGGCTCCGGCATGTGCTTTTACGAAAGAATCTGCAAGCATAGCAAAAGAATCGATAGAGTTAGGCGGTAAATTACGATACTATATCATTTCTCCCTTTGACAGGGTTTCCCCAAACTTCTTCAATAATACGAATTCGATCTCGTCATCTTCTAGATCATTCCCTTTAATGGTACATGTGTAAGAGGTGACATGTTTGTTGGGGTCGGTCGTCCCATTATATTTAGAAATTTATGGCATGCAGAACTTCTTGGGGATCGGTACTGATCGGTCTCTGCATCTCGAGCTCGACCTTAACTCGATCTCGGTACTGATCGGTCTCTGGGTCTCGAGCTCGACCTTCCAACTTCACATCACAGCTCGGTATTATAATGACGAACCTCGGTCCATCATGCTTCAATCTTGATTAATCACACGAAGGACAAATTCGATTTTGACAGTATACTTAACCAAAAATCAAGACAGTAGTTGAGAGAGACAAGCAAAGGTATGACATAACCCTCATCCCAAAGGCTTCTTAGCGGACCGACAACTAGATTCCACTTTGACAAATTAAGGAGGTGTTTCCTCTTCAGGCATAGAAATAACTGCCTTTGCTTCTGCCCTTTATTATTGAAAAAAGGTTCATCATCCACCTTTTTTAATTGACTTTTCAGATTTTTACCGAAATACCTTGTTTCATGTCTGGACAGGTAAGTATTCCAACAGCATATATGGTAATATTTTCACACATACAACTCCCGGGAATTTAAGCCACGTTTTCTGTTATATATCCATTAATTGACTATGATATCTAACCAACAGAATTCTGATTAATTAATCTTGTAAAAAACAAGCAGGTATGCATGGTGATGCGGGTTAATCTGGATTGCCCTTCTTGCTGCAGGAAAATGAGAACAATCATTCTCAGAATGAAAGGTAAGGCATACTTAATATACGAATCCGCGATCCTTAGGATAAACAGATTTATAAAGCTAGTTTTTGTCTACAACGTAATTCTATGACTAATATGGTGTAGAAATAGAGATGCACCTGATAGAGAAGCAACACAACAGAGTGAGCATCTTTGGCCGGTTTGATCCAGCAGACATAGCCATAAGAATCAGGAAAAGAATGAAGAGAAGAGTTGAGATTTTGGACATTCAATTACCCGGTGAAGAGATGCCTCATGCCACTGATGGCCCTGACCAATCCATTATGCAAAAGCCGCGTAACGCTGAAGCTAATTCAGAGAATGACATACTCTGTTCACAATAGGAGAGGATGCTCATACTATATTAAAGTATTGGAAGGTTTAGCTTCTGTTTTAGTCCCAACAAAAAAATAAATTAATTTGTTGGTTTATGCTAGTCTGGAAGAACTAAGACCCTCTTTGTATACAATAGCAAATTAATGTATGTTGATGTACATAATTTAGCTGTCTTTTATACAACTTTAGGTTAGTCCAATTACAAGAGAAAAAAGTTCATGCATCTTTGATCTCCCAGAATCAAAGCCAATCCACTAGTATTGGAATTAATTTGAGTATTTCACGACCAGTTAGAAGAAGTTTTTTTTATTAACTCAAACCAATAAAATAAACAATTTTATTTTTCCTTAGTATGTTAACAACGAAAATTGGTGACAAAAATCACAAAGAAAAGTTAAGAGTTTGAGTTGAGAAAGAGAGAAAAAATCAAGAGAATAAACAGAGAAAATAACGCAAGGCACCCCTTTAAAGGTTTTATAATAAAAATGCCTCCCTTTTTGAAATATAGAATATACCTCCAATTTAATAGTTTTTAAGATTTTATTAATCAGCTGTCCCCTCTCTTACTATGCCTACGCTCCACCTAAGGCCGTTCCCCTTTTTCCTTTCTTTTCTTTGTTTTTAAGACCTTTTCTTCCTTATCTTTTTTACTTTCTTTTATTTTTTCCATTTATTGTTATTTTTTCACTTTATTCTTTTCTTCTAATAAAACTCTGCACTCTTTTCTGGTTTCTTTTAATTTTTATAGTTCTTTTTTCTTTTTATTTCTTGCTTTTTTCTCTTTTTTTAATTCTTTGTTGTAACAATTCCTCACCTTTTTCACTTTATTTTTTCTTTATTTTTACTGCGTTTTGCTATATTTTTTTTTTTTTGATCTTTTCAAAAACAAATTCATCCAAAATACTGGTCACTCTTTTGGATTTCTTTTTTAATTATTATTTTTTACTTTACTTTTTCTTTTCTTGTAATTTTTTCCCAGTAAAATTCCTCTATCCAAAATTTTGTCACTCTTTTTTACTTTTGTTTTTATTTTTGTTCTTTCTAGTTAATTGGTGGATCTTAAAATCTATATTGGGCACCCTTTGCACAATCACATATCCATCATAATTACCGAGATTTACCATATTATATTTTTATTGGATTTTTTTCACGATAAAAATGCTACTAGGTCGTGACTCGTGATAACACCTAATCTAACCCACTGGGTGAACTAAATATAAATAAATCTCATATATAACATCATAAGACTAAGATAAATAATAAACAGAGCCATGATTCTTCAAATTTTCCATAATTCTAAATAAAGTAGGGACTTCAAAGTTGTTGCCCAGGACTCCAATGCACTAACTCCTGGAAGCTCCATTCATGCTTACCTATCGAGCAAGAAAGACGCTACCGATCCCTGAATCGAGGGAGTACACGCTTTCAATTGGAAACCTCATGATTGTGATTTGATCATCATTAGGTGGTGAAAAAGTGGCGATAAGCTTATGCTTGTTTGGAGGGATCATCATAAATAATTAAAGTGCATCGATCACGATACATAAAATAAACAGACAAAGCTTGTCTTGTATAAGGAGCAAGGTATTATTGTGTAGTAGGGGAATCCGCCCTTTTGGCTGCCACAATAGTTTATTCCATCGCTCCCCTTACCTGTAAAGTAGTTACTACCTGGGCCACGGGAGACGCTTTTTGCCCAATAGTTACATAAACACATATTAAATTTGACTAGACTATAGAGCTTAGTTAAAAAACATTCAGGCGTGCTTTTTCAATTCACAACTATGAGAGAGTATTCCTCTATCTCTTGCTCGCTTCGATCGGACTCTGAAAAATCAGGGAAGAATGATGGGTCACTAACGGGGCCCATTATCATAACATAAGTCTGAGTATGATATAGTAAGTGGAGAATCAATCATACCATCCCTAGGAACTAGTGTCACAATATGATGACCCAATAGGCCATTTTGAAATTTAGCCTCCATTTTCATATTTCAAGACCTCGATTAGCTCCGTTTAGCATCTCTTAATTTTCGTGCGCAGTCTGTGTCTTATTCCGAAAAGTCTTTATGTGAAAAATTGAAGAAAATGTGAATTATTGCCTTAAAATGGTTTGAGTTGACTACGGTCAATATTTTATGTAAACGAACCCGGATTAGTATTTTGACAATCCCTTTGGATCTGTACCGTGATTTGGGACTTGGGCGTAAGCCCGAAATTAAATTCGAAAGTCCCTTGTTTGTTTTGACTGATTTTGCCAAAAACTAGCATTTAGAAAGTTGATAAATTACAAAGTATGATCGTAAGTTAACTTCTTGGCTAACGGGTTCAAATTTTGATGTTGAAACTTGGAATAGTTCTATATTGCTATTTGACTTGTCTGCAAAATTTGGTTCAATATGGAGTTGATTAGACGTGATTCACACATCCGGTTGTAAATTTGAGAGTTCTTACAACCGATGGTATTGCTAGATGGATCGAGATGGTTCGTGGTCAAGATATGGGCCGATATCTGGTAAGAGGCCTCATCATTATGGTGGTTTCAGTGGTGCCTCGTCTGGAGGCAGGGGTACTTTTGGTAGAGGTCATCGTCTTAGGCCATTTCAGTCAGTGCTTCAAGCATCCCACAATGGTTCAGGTAGTCGGGGTCCTTATTTATCTCAGCCTGGGCAGCCGAACTATAGTGCACCATCAACTCCTATTAGTGAGCCTCCGATCCAGAGCTACCACCGTGGTTATCCATCCCATTCGGGTTAGTTTTAGCTATAGCAGCCATAACAGACGGATGGATGATTTGAGTGTGGGGGTACATGTCACATCAGGAGGTATTGCCCTAGATTATTGGGCAACATGTCATAGCAGAGTTCTCGTGCCATAGTTTCGGCACCGGTTGCTTTACCGCCCGCTCAGGTAGCTAGAGGTGGAGGTCAGGCCATTAGAGGTGGAGGTCAGGCCGTTAGAGGTAGAGGCTAGCCAGCTAGAGGCCGTCCGAGAGGTGGAGGTCGGGGTGGTGAGGCCTAGCCTTATTTTTATACATTCCCAACTAGACCTGAGGCCGAGTCATCTGACGCCATTATCACAGGTATTGTTCTAGTTGCCATAGCAATGCTTCAGTTATGTTTGATCCGGACTCTATTTATTCCTATGTGTTATCCTGTTTTGCTTTATATCTTGTTGTGCCTCGTGATTCTCTGAGTGCTCATGTGTATGTGTCCACGCCCGTGGGAGATTCTATTATTGTAGACCGTGTCTATCGCTTCTGTGTGATTACTATTGGGAGTCTTGAGACTAGTCTAGATCTCCTACTTCTTGATATGGTAGACTTTGATGTTATTTTGGGCATGGATTGGTTGTCACCTTACCATGCTATATTGGATTGTCACGCCAAGAAGTTGACCCTGCCAATGCCGGGGTTGCCTCGATTAAAGTGGAGAGGGACTCATGGCCATTCTACCAGCAGGGTTATTTCTTATGTGAAGGCTCAGAGTATGGTCGAGAAGGGATGTCTAGCTTATTTGGCCTATGTTTGTGATTCTAGTGCGGAGGTTCCTTCCATGGATTCAGTACCTATTGTGCGTGAGTTTCCATTGGTGTTTCCTGCATACCTGCCGGGGATACCACCTGACAGGGATATTGATTTTTGTATTAACTTGGTTTCGGGCACTCAGCCCATTTCTATTCCACCATACTCTATGGCGTTACCTGAGTTGAATGAACTGAAGGAGCAGTTGTAGGATTTGCTTGATAAGGGATTCATTAGACCTAGTGTCTTGCCTTGGGGTGCGCCCGTGTTGTTCGTGAAGAATAAAGATGGTTCGATGAGGATATGTATAGACTATCGACGGTTGGACAAAGTCACTATAAAGAACAAGTATCCGTTGTCGATGATTGATAACATATTTGACCAGCTTCAAGGTGCCAAAGTGTTGTCAAAGATTAATTTGAGGTCTGGCTACCATCAATTGATGATTAGGGCATCGGATGTCCCTAAGACAACTTTTCGGACTCGGTATAGGCATTATGAGTTCCTAGTAATGTCATTTGGGTTGACAAATGTCCCAACAACATTTATGGACTTGATGAACCAGGTATTTAATCTCTATTTGGATTCTTTTATGATCGTATTCATTGATGATATCTTGATCTACTCCCGCAGCCGGGAGGAGCATGAGCAGCATCTTCGAATTGCACTTCAGACTCTAAGAGATAGTCAGCTATATGCCAAGTTTTCAAAGTGTGAGTTTTGGTTAGACTCAGTCGCCTTTTTGGGGCATGTTCTATTTGTCGTGAGCATAAAAGTGGATCCTAAGAAGATTGAGGAGTTTCAGAACTGTCCTAGACCTACATCAGCTATAGAGATTCAGGGTTTCCTCAGTTTGGCGAGTTATTGTCGCCAGTTTGTGGAGGGATTTTCATCCATAGCATCCCCATTGACTAGATTGACCCACAAGGGTGCTCCATTCACGTGGTCCGATGAGTGTGGGTTGAGCTTGCAGAAGCTCAAGACTACTTTGAATATAGCACCGGTGTTGGTATTGCCCACAGGTTCAGGATCCTACATGGTGTATTTTGATGCATCGCATATTGGGCTCGGTGTAGTATTGATGCAGGATGGCAGGGTGATTTCATACGCATCACGAAAATTGAAGGTTCATGAGAAGAATTACCCTGCTCATGACTTAGAGCTAGCAGTCAGTATTCATGCATTGAAGATTTGGAGGCATTACCTCTACGGCGTGTTGTGTGAGGTGTTCATGGATCATTAGAGTCTATAGTATTTGTTCAAGAAGAAGGATCTCAACTTGAGGCAACAGAGGTGGTTGGAGCTATTGATGGACTATGATATCACCATTTTGTATCATCCCGGGAAGGTCAATGTGATGGCCGATGTCTTGATAGAAAGGGTTTGAGTATGGGTATCCTTGCGTATATTCCAGTTAGTGAGAGACTACTAGCATCAGATGTTCAGGCTTTGGCTAATCAGTTTGTGAGGTTTTATGTTTCGGAGCCCAGTCGTGTTCTAGCTTG